TGAGTCTGGGGACTGGGGGTAGGGGGCAGGGCTGGGGGGTGGCGAGATGGGGGTGGTTCTCCAATACTCAGGAGGTCTCTCTTGCCCACAGGTGGGCCCACTGGGGGAGGGGCTGGCCAGTCTGGGGACCTTGATCTTGGGACTGTATTGGCCCTATGAAGTTACCAATGGCAAGTGGCTGCTGTACCCCACGGAGATCACCATCCGGGGCAACGGGTCCTGGACCTGCCGGCCGCCAGGGGACCTTGTCAATCCTCTCAACCTCACCTTCTCGGTAAAGACACCATCGGGGTCTGCCATTCGCATCACATCTCATTAGCGTGCCCAGGGCAGAAAGGCCAGTGTCCTCCCCTCAGGCCTTGGGAGCCTGACTCTCCCCTCCCCTGCTCCCTTGGCTCTCCAGGTGCCAGAGGATGGGCCACCACCATCACAGCGCAGGCGGCGGCGGCGACAGGTGGACCCTGGGAGAGACCAGGACCTGCAGCCTGTCACTCTGGCTGCTGCCAAAAAAGCCAAGTCTGAGATCCACCTGGTGGGTGGCCAGGGCACCGTGTGGACGGTGGGTGGGTAGGTGGGGGAGCTTGCCCCTGCCCTTGGGGCGCAGCGTAACACCAAAGGGGGAGATGCTGGTCATCAAAGAGCCACAGCCTTGGGCTGGGTGCCACCAGGGCTTGGGGGTGCAGGGCTGGGGGGCAGGATGCCAGGCACCCTTAGTAGGAAGAATGAGAAGAACAGGCCTGGGTGGCACTTGAGGCCTGGCTGGTGGAGAAGTGGAAGAAATTCATTCCCCAGATGGGTGCCGGCAGGAGCCAGGCTCGGAGTGGGAGGGGATGTCGGGATTCATGTCTGTCTGCCTGAGCAGGGTCATATTTCATGGTGCCTGTGTCCAAAGGATGCATCTTAAATATCCACGTGGGGAGGGGAGGCCAGACGGGGAGAGTGACCGGCTAAAGCCAGCCCCTTGGAGTCAGCCCCAAGTGAGTGGGACTGAGCTTGGGAGTGGTCCGAGGTCAGGCGCAAAGCATGAAGAACCAGGAGACCCTGATCCTTACCGGCCTGTTGTTCTCGCCCGCCCCAGACCTGTAACAATGGCCACGCCCGCTGCGTGTGGCTGGAATGCCCCCTCCCTGATGCTCCGGTCATCACCAATGTGACCGTGCAGGCCCGCGTGTGGAACAGCACCTTCATTGAGGTCAGTGCCTGGGCCCCGGAATCTCTCCTGACACCTTCCCAGAGCGGGGAGCCCCAGGGAGAGGTGAGGCCAGGTCACAGTAGGGCCGAGAGGATGTTGTGGTGGTGACAGCATCGTGTCTCAGGCAGAGGTGTGCCTGATGCTGAGTGAGCCCCAGGGTTGCTAGCCGAGTCGCCTGCTGCCTTGTGTCTGTCACACTGCGGTTGGCCTATGATCTGCCCACCTCTGTGCTTTCGCTCATGCCCCTCACTCGCTCGCCCATTGCCCTCTGTTCCCCCCAACTGTGAGCTCCTACTCAGCCTCGAAGCATGCCCTTGGGGAATGCCTGTCCGAAGCCGCAGCTGCAAATGAGCCCTTGTCCCCTGGGGAGCCTCAGGACCTTCTTTGAAGCTCCGTATGCCACTGAACACTTTCCTCGGGGTTCAGCTGGGGACCCACATGCCAGACACTTGCCCACACACTTCGTCGTTCTGTAGAGGACCAGATAATAAGTATTTTCAGCTCTGTGGGCCATGTCACCTCTCTGCCTTGGAGCATGGCAGCAGTGAGACAATAGGTGTGTGAATGGGCATGACCGTGTGCCCTGACAAAAGTGGGTGGTGGGCCAGGTGTAGCTCACAGGCCTTCATTATCTCTGCTGTCCTAGCAGCCAGCACAAGAACCTGCTCACAAATGAATGACCCCGGCAGTCTGTGGGATGCATTTGTGTGGAGGAGAGTCCTGGCTGCTAGAACCTGTGGATCTTGCTTAAGGATGTGGCCTGGTGGGGGGCCCCTGGGACACTCAGAGCCTGGGGGGAGATCCCTAAGGGCCCCTTTTGACTTGCCATCCCTCCCCACAGGATTACAGAGACTACGACCGAGTCAGAGTAGATGGCTGGGCCACCCTGTTCCTCCGAACCAGTGTCCCCACCATCAACATGGAGAACAGGACCATCTGGGTGAGTGAGCGTGCTCATCAGGATCTCTAAGGCCTGGCACACACTCAGCCTGCACAGCACATTAGAACCACCTGGAGAAGTTCTGGTGCCTGGACTATACTCCAGTTAAACCTGAATCTCTGAGGGTGGACCCCAGCATTGGCATGTTTAAAAGTTCCCCAGGCAAATTGGAATATGGGTACATACAGATGTGAACAGGTAAGACAGGTGTGCGTCTCTATAGGTGCCTGCAAACACAAATAGTGGGGTGCAGGCACAGCTTCTTCCTAAAGACATAAAGACAGATACTCCTCAGAGAAGCAAACCAGTTTTCTGGGTTTGAAGGCCCTTCAAGTCTCATGGGCCAACTCGGTCACTTGACATAACATAGTTCACAAAGTAGCAGTGCAAGTGAGCAGCATCTAGGGTGCCATCTAAGACACAGCTTCAGGTCTCACCTGGCCAGGAGCAACACAGGAAGGAGGTAGCCAAGAGCTCAGTCTTTTGTGAGACTAGTCACAAGAGCCACAACCCTGTCTCCCCTGAGATCAGAACTAGATGGTGCCTGGTACCACCATGGACCGTTCTGACTGGGATTCCAGTATGGGTCCCAGATAGAATGGGAGAAAATCATGGAACAAAACTCAAATTCTTATTTAAAAAAAGCTAGGACAATCTGGAGCTGTGGGGCACAGAGGCCTCCCTGAGATGACCGCCTCAGGACACTCTTTAAATCTGGACTCAAGCCTGTCCCCCGAGGCCACCTGTCGGTGACACAGCCGAGTGGCACGCAGAGGGAAGGACTTGATCCAGAAGGTCAGTGCCGGCTCACAAACCCTCGGGCAGAGGCCAAGAGGGCAAGGGTTTCCTAGATGCACAGATGAGGAGGAGGTCAGCAGGCAGGGGCGGGAACAGAGAGCACAGTTAAAGAGGAGGTCGGCACCCTGTGTTACCCGTAACTGCTGCTACTGGAGGTTGTCAAATGGGACCCGAGCTTGCTGCGTGGATCACAGCTCGGTAAAAGACCATCTTGTAAAAGTTCACCAGATGATGCTAGCGGGCAGCCGGCGTTGGGAGCCATGCTGTCTGGTTGGAGCCACACGACAGCTCCAGGAAGAGCAGTCCTGAGCTTGTTCTGCCTGGTTCCTGGCTGAGGAAGCTGAGGCTCAGAAACGGGTGGCCTGCCCAAATTGACAGTCTGTAAGGGTCTGGAACCCGGGCCACCTGGACACGGGCATTGCTGCTTGCAAAGAATAATGAGAATGAGAGAGAGGAGACGTCGGTGAAGCTGAGGGTCTCCCACAGGGGGCGGGGGCGTTATTTGCAGGTGCACTTGGCTGTCTTGATAGCTAACAAGAGAAGCAACCCAAAGTCGATTAGCTCTTCCACGAAAATTCAGGCGTTCGGGAGCTCAGAACAGCCCAAAGCTTTCCAAATGACTGATAGAGACCATCAAAGCTCCCATTCAAAGGCACCAGAAAAGTCCTTTCATCTCTAGGAAAAAATGTAGCAATGAATGGGCCACCAGAGGTTGAATAAAGGATAGAAAAGGGCCAATTTCATCAAGTCAGACATCTCAGGTGAGGTTAGGGGAAACTTGGCAGCGAGTTCCTGAACTTGAATCTGAATTACTCTTGGACGAAGGAATGGCCATATTGCTAAGGTTGTTGGGAAACTGGCTGTGAGTGGAGATAAGTGGATGATAGAAAGCGGGAGACTGGTTAAACTTGATATGGTACATTTCCTACAATAAATGAATATCATGTGGAAGGGGTGGAGGAAGTCAGACCTGAGAGATCAGTGCTGCTAGAAAATGGAGCCATGAATCTTCGGAAATCCAGTCAGGTGATGCTCCTGGCATTTTCAGTCACGGAGAAAAGGTAAATTACTGTGTGGGGTTAACACATTTGGAAAGTACAGTCAAATCCCTACCTCATGCCACAAACAAAGCTATCTTCGAGTCAGCTTAAATATATATATTTAAATACTTTTATTGGAGGCTCTTACATCTTTTATCACAATCCATGCATTCATCCAGTGTGTCAAGCACATTTGCACATATGCCACCATCATCGTCAAAGCCTTCTCTTCCCAGATTAAATATTTAAATGTAAGAAACCTAATATACCAGAAGAAAACACAGAGATTGATGATAATCATGACTTAGAGAGAGGGAAAGTTACTTTATTAAACCTAGGACGGCACTTGTCTCCCGAGGTCACCTGTTGGTGATGCAGCCAAGTGACACACAGAAAAGACTTGATCCAGAGAAGCTCCGTGACTGGCTCAAAAATCCACCCGTGTGAGGCCAAAAGGCCAGAAGTCACAAAGGAAACATTTGACTACATGAAATAAATAACCATAAAAATTTAAATCTGTAAACTGCAAATGATACCATAAAGAAAACGCTAAGGACACCTGGCATACTGCTTTTTCAAAAGTTTACAGAGTATATAGGAACACTGGTGGCATAGTGGGTTACAAGTTAGGCTGCTAACCACAAAGTCAGTAGTTCAAGCCCACCTGTCTCTCTGAAGGAGAAAGACGAGGCTTTCTGCTGAAACCCACCAGGGCAGTTCTATGCTGTCCTATAGGGTTGCTGTACATCAGAATCGACTTGATGGCATTGAGTTTATGGCACAGGTGAGCCAGTATTAGTTGATATTTTTAATAATCTGCTTAATAACCTACATAGAACATAAACAGGCAGTTTGCATCAAATGAAAAACTAATGTTCCACTAATAATGAAATGCAGATGAAAACAGCAGCTGTGGTGCTACCTGGTCTTGAAGATGGTGGGAGGCAATGGGGAGCCCTTCACACTGTTGATTAGAATCCAAACTGCTGGGCTCCATTGTGGAGAGGGGCTTGTCACTATTCATGAAAATGTTAAATACCTCTGTCTTTGATCCTCCACCTAACACTTCGTCCTGGAGGCGAAGAATGAAAAGATAAACTAGGCAGGGAAATGTTAGGGCGTGGTTTAGAAAGAGAACGCATTGCAAACCATCGGAATGGCTTTCAGCGAGGAGCTGGTTCAGTACATTAGAATACGTTTCTTACAATGACTGTGCACCTATCAGAAGAGATCGAGCCAACCTTTGTGAATGAACCTCAGGTGAAAGCAGAGGCAGGTGGCAGCAGAGCCTGTCTGCAAGGGAGGAGCCAGGCTCTGTAATAGGAGCACACTGCCCGCATGACAAGTGGATGCCATCAGAACAGCCCTCCAGGACAGGGCAGAACTGCCCCAGGACTTTCTGAGACCCTCCTCTTTAGGAGAGTACCACACCCCACCCATCAAAATGTTAGGTATTTGGGGGGCAAAATGACCGGGAGTCTTTTGTTTTCTATATGTCACTTGGAGTTTTAGAAATAGTAATAATTGTACAGTCAGGGGGAAAAACCCTATGTATGGATCCATTGTAGGGCAAGAACAAACAGCACATTACATGTTTTTTTGATAAGTTTTATGGACTGGTTACGGTCTACCAGTTTATCTATTCTATTAAACACATGTCATGCTCATCATCATGTCCATGTCCTGGTAGAGCAACAGAGAGATTAAGTGGCTTGCCCAAGGTCACTCAGCCAGTGAGTGCACAGCTGGGACCCGAGGGCAAGCACTGGAGCCCAGGACCCAGGCCTTTGGCTGGGGTGCTCTACCTTGGAGGGTAGAAGCACCTGTCTGAGAGCAAGAAATACAGGTGCCCGGGAGGTACAGTTACTAGTCCAAAGTCACCCAGCTCATCAAGGGGGCTAACTGGTGCTCAAGCCTTATGTGGTCCCCGAACCCAGGCTGCGGTAGACCCCAGATCTGCGATTGTTCTTCCTAGAGGCATACCTGCGCCCCTCGGTGAGGCAGGTGGGGCCTTTTCCCCAGTCCCCGGCGCCTCCTCCTGGCAGGAAGTGGAACAGCAGGCTCCTGGAGGCAGCCCGGACTGAAAGGGTGGGTGGGGATGGGATGAGGGGGCAGGGGACCCGTGGGATCCGAGTGCCTGCTCCGCCCCTCCAGTTCTCTGTGGACATCGACTCCGACCTGGTGGAGGAGCTGCCGGCCGAGATTGAGCTGTGGCTGGTGCTCGTGGCCGTGGGCGCGGGGCTGTTGCTGCTGGGACTGATTATCCTGCTGCTGTGGAAGGTTAGGCGCTAGTCCAGCCCCAGGACTCCCACCCCTCTACCCGCTGCCCTGCCCGCAGACGCCCCTCCCCGTGCCCCCCGCCACCTGCCAGCCCTCCCTTCCTGCCCCCTCCCCATCCCATTCTTCACTTCCACCCTTCCCTCTCCCAGATACACCCCTCACCCTCCACCCCCGCTTCCAGCCTCACCCCTGCCCCATCCTACACCCAATGGGGGAGCTGCACCCCGGAAGGGAACCCAGGAGCACTGGCTTCTGGTCACACCGCCGAGCTGGGGCCCTAAGGCCCTGCCCTTGAGTGCTGCTGGCAGGGACACCCAGACCGCCCCCTGACGGCCCATACCCCCGCAGTGCGGCTTCTTCAAGCGAGCCCGCACTCGCGCCCTGTACGAAGCTAAGAAGCAGAAGGCGGAGATGAAGAGCCAGCCGTCAGAGACGGAGAGGCTGACCGACGACTACTGAGGGGGGCGGCCCCCGGCCCACCCCGGTAACTCAGCCTCTGAGCCCCACAGGTGGCCGGCCCTCTGCCTCTGTCCTGTCTGCTCCTCCTCCTTCAGGGGCCCACTCTGCCCCCCACCCCTCTCCCTGTCCCTACACTGCCCCCCAGAGCAGGGCACTGCCGGCCTCCCTTCCCACGTCCCCGGGGAGCAGGGGCGGGCGTCTGGCTCGCCCCAGCCCCACACCAAGCCCATGGGACTTAAGACCCCAAGAGGCGCCATAAACCTTCCTTCCTGGTGTCCACCTTGCCCAGTGGGACTCTTCAAGGCCCCATCTCTAGAGGTCAGACAACACATATTTGCAAGATTCTACCCATGGCCCCAGCCCCCAGGGGAGGGGGAGGCTGGCGGTCCTGAGCCAGGAGAGCAAGTAACCTCCTGGCACCTCCTGGGTAGGTGGGGGGCAAGCACTTGGTAGGCATCTCCCAGAAGGGTCGGCTGCTGTCCCTCCTCCATCTGCCTCTTCCTCTCCTCTCTGCCTTCCTCCACAACTTCTGCCTCTGAGGTCTAGGGCGGGGCGATTGGGGGGGTCTCTGAGGACCTCTGGGGCAGCCGGAAGCTGGCTCCTGACTCAGGTGTTTTCCTTTCTCCCCCCTCCAGTGTGACTTCTTTAAGCGGACCCGCTACTACCAGATCATGCCCAAGTACCACGCTGTGCGGATCCGGGAGGAGGAGCGCTACCCGCCTCCAGGGGCCACGGCGCCCACGAAGAAGCACTGGGTGACCAGTTGGCAGACTTGGGATCGATACTACTGACTACTGACGTCCCCCTGTTCCCAGCCCCACACCTCCCTCCTTCCTATTTATCATAAGTTATACCCCTGACGGTCCACAGGGGCCCTGGGCCTTCGGCGGGTACCAACCTGTGCAGTGGGCAGCCCCCTGCTGCAAGACAAACGCACTGCAGCCCTGTGCCCCGGACACAAGGGCCCCAGTGCACTAAGACCGCGCTCCAGCAAGGGAAGGTGTGCATACATCCCGGTGCCTGCTGGCCTGGGCTCGGGCCAAAACCATGCCTGAGGGCTCCGTCAGAGCCAGGAGGGAAAGGACCCTGCGGGGGTGACCCCTTCCCTTCTCACTGGACCCGTCTTGAGCCATAGCCACTGGATTCTCCTCTGGAGATGAAACTACTGACAGGGGGAGCCCCCGAGCCCCCAGCGGCAGCTCCCCAGCCCCCGAGCCCCAGAGCTGGGGTTTCTGCCTCAGGTTGTCACGAGGGGCCATTGCTCGGCTCGGCATCCGCAGACCCCAGAGCTCGACTCTTCTTGACCACTGACTGAACTAGCAAGGGGTGGTGCCCAAAGGAGCCAGGCTGGACCAACCACTGGCAGCCTCCCCTGAGGAACATGGTGGGCCAGCCCGGCCAAGGAGGCGCTAAAGGAACTAGCCCTTCCGACAGACCACTCCCATCGCTGCCTCCCCACGAGGGCCTGGGGATCACAGAGCGACTTGTGAATGTAGGCAGGGAGGGTCCCTTGGCCCATCCCTCACCCAAGTAGCCCTTGACCATGGGCTGGGGGCCTGGAGGTGATTCTGACTGTCCTTGGCTGTCAGGGCCAACCTGGCTCTGCCCACTGCCCCCATGGGCCCATTCCAGAAGTCGAGGCTGGTTCCAGAAATCCTCTCCTGGCCCCTGCTCCCATTGGTGGCCTACTCCCCAGCCTCAACCTCCTTCCACGGTACTGTAGCCGGGGAGCTCCCTCTCCCTCCCTGTGCCTTCTTGTACATAGGCTTCTCACACGACCAATAAACGACTCCCAGTTTGTACCTGCCGACCCCCACCACCACCTTCAGCATCCCCCACTGGGTTTGTGTGGCTGGGTAGGTGGGGCCATTACCTATCAAAACCTCCCTTCCCTCTCCCCCGTGGAGGGAAAAAAAGTCAGGTGCTGGGGCCTTGGTGTGGTAGGAGGTGAAGGAGCTACCCGCTCTGCTTTCGAAGATACCCCCATGTAAGGGGCAGCCATAGGCCCAACCGAAGCCAAGGGCAAAAGGCCTGATCAGCCTGGATGGACCCACAGGTGACTCACTGGAGGAGGGTGGGCTGTTCCTGGGGAGGGTTAAGGGGCCAGCCACGCTGCTGGGGGACCGGATGTTCCCATCGGTGATGGAGAAAGGTTGAGTAGAAGGGTAAGGAGTGAGTTCTCAAATGACAACTCCTGAGTAGATAAGGATAACCTGCCTCAGTTTCCCCACTACCTGGTGCACTAAGATCCAAAGGTGAACCAGCAGGAAGGGTCTTTTGGAGGGAGAGCTTGAGCCGGAAGTCCTCTAGGGGTGACCCCATGCTGTTACACAGGCCTGTGTCTCCTAGCCTAGGGCACCACTCCATCGTGGAAGGACAGAGTGTCCTCCACGGCTGTTTTCTGGGCTGCCCAGCGTGCCTCGGATCAGACCTCACATTGCTTCTGGCCACTGTCTGGAGTTTCCAGTGCAGCTGCCCTCTTGCACAAGGTGGTCTCACCCACACAGGGCCCAGAGACTAGAGCAAGGCTGCTCCCCTGATTTTGTCCCCAATTGTGCCGCAAGTCTGTCTATTAACTTTCCTGATACTCTGACACTGGCGGGAAGAAATTGCCAGAGAAGTGCAGGCAGGGTCTTTGCTCTGACCCACTGGAGAGCAGCCAGCGCTCAGAGCCAGTGAGGTTGACTTCTGTTTGTTCCCCTAAATCTGAGTTCGTCATTGGCTCAGAAACACATCACACGTGGATCCTTGAAATACATACAACAAAACACATGCCATTTTTAACATGGACACGCAGTTTGCGGAACTCCATCATTTTCATCATGTCGTGTCACCCTTATCCCTAGCAGTGTGTTTCCAAACGTTCCCATCACCCTCAGCAGAAACTCAATATCCCTAAGGAGTGACTCCCACTTCCGGTGCCTTCCTGCTTCTGGAAACCACCAGTGAAGTCTGCTCGCTCCCACCGCCTCGTCCAGGTTTTTTATGAAGTGGGGTCACACAGTATCTGACCTTTGGTGCCTTGTTTATTCCACTGAGCTAGGTTCATCCACGTCCTGTGGGTCCAGACTTACTGCATCTCCCCGATGGCTGAATAATATCCCATTGCTTGTATCAAAGGGGGTTTTAAAAAAAATCCATGGTAAAATGGAGTGAAAATAAAATGGAGTTTTTCTGTGGGCTTTTTGAAGCCACCTGGTAGGTACCACAGTTTGATTGTCCATTCATCTGTGGATGGGACATTTAGGTTGTTTGGCTGTTATGAATAGTGTTTCAGTGTGTGGCAAACATTTCTTTTAGAGGAATTCATGCCCAGACCAGTCCCAAGGAGTTGGAAATTTAAAATGTCACAAATGTCCAGTGCTCCCAAGACGCTACCCTGCTCCATTCCCCGCCCCTCCCTGGAGTATATCCCCTCAGGTCCCTGGGTTCTGTGATTCACTACAGCATCTCACAGAGACTCGTGGAAACTTGAGGAAATGTCTCACATTGTGCTGTCCAGTCTCAGACTGAAAGGCCAGGCAGAGATGAGCCAAGTGCAGGGTCTGGAGCCAGAAGTGAAAAATGTCCCAAACTCACGGCAGGTTTTCTTCTACCAAAGCTCAGTCAGGAAACAGGTATGAGGTGAGGTGGGTTAGAGCCAGCAGGCATCCCCCACAAAGGATGGTGCCTTACGTCACATCCTTGCCTAAGGTCTGAGATGCCCCCAAGGAAACAAAGGGTATGGCTTGGTTCACCCCCTTGACTATGGTAAGTTGTAAATTGAGCAAATGATCAAAGAAGTTGGATTATATGAAGAGAAATTAAGCATCCGGATGGGATAAAAGCTTATTAACAACCAGATGACACAACCTTGCTTGCTGGAAACGAGGAGGACTTGACGGACTTGCTGTGGCAGACCAAGGACTGCACCCTTCTATACGGGTGACAACTGGTAAAGAAGACCCAAATCCTTACAAGTGGACCGACAGGTGCCAAGTCGCCACAGATGGAGAAAAGGTTGAAGTTGTCAGAGATGTCATCCTGCTGGGATCCACCCTCAATGCTTATGGAAGCAGCACTCGAGAGATCAAATGGTGCATTGTGCTGGGTAAATCTGCTGCACACAACCTCTTCGGAGTGATGGAAAGCAAAAATGTTACTTTGAGGACTAAGGTGCGCCTGACCCAAGCCGTGGTATTTTCTGTTGCCTCATAGGCAAGTGAAAGTTGGACATTGAATAAGGAAGACCGAAAAAGAACGGGTGCATTTCAGTTATGGTGCTGGGGAAGAATACTGAAAGTACCTTGGACTGCCACCGTGGTCCTGGACAAGATGGATTGGCACAGGGGTTGCAACAATGGGCTCGAATGTAAGAGCCACTGGGAGGATGGCCCAGGGCCAGGTGGTATTGAGTGCTGTCCTACAGAGGGCTCCGATGAGTTGGGCCAACGCTCAGAGACCTAGCAACCACCACCACAGAACTCACAGTGGACATTGTCGTTGTGGCTGCCAGGGACCACGGAGTTGGCTCTGACTCACAGCGACCTCTGTACAACCGAGCAAAACCCTGCCGATCCCGTGCCAGCCTTACAACTGACATCCTGTTTGAGTCCAATGTCACAGCCACTGTGTCGGCCCAGCTTGTTGGGGGCCTTCCTCTTTTGCACTGACCCACCAAGCAGGATGTCTTTTGCGGGGCCGGTCCCTTCTGATAGCATGTCCTAAGCCCGTGAGAAGTCCCACCATCCTCACTTTGAAGGAGCATTTGTGTACAAGAACTGAGGTGCATCCTTCCTTTCGCCAGGTGCAGACCTAGAAGTGGGATGGAGGGTCAAGTTGAACTCATCCCCACCAGTCCTTTCTTTGCAGCCTCTTGTGAATGGTGCCTGCACCCTACTTTCCTCGTCTCTAAAACAGGATAACAGGACAATAGCTCTGTCTTGAGGATTCGATGGCATCATGCACACATCCTGGACACGGGGCCGGGCACCCTGGCGAGGCCATTCAGCTGAGAGGGCCTTGTGTCTGGAAGCACTGGGCGTGGTTCCGTGTTGCCTGGCACCACTCCTGCTGTAACCGGTGATCCCTTTATGCAGCCAGCTCCCAGACGGAGCCCTCGAGGGAAAGTCCATGTCAGAAGCCTGGCTGTTTCCTTAAACCAGTTGCTCTGGGTTCGATTTTAAATCACAGGGACCTGCCTATGTTTGACAAGGACAGGACGGCGCTCCACAGGATTTTCAGTGGCTAGGTTTGGGGAAGTAAATTACGACTCTTTCGAGGCACCTCTAGGCGAACTCAGACCTTCAACCATTGGCCTAAGGGCTGCCGAAGACTGGACCCGGGTCTGACGTCAAAAAAGTGTGGGTCCCTTGGCCCGGTGAAAGCCAACACCAAATCGACCACGGACACCTATTTGCCCCTTCGGGCTTTGCTGTCTGTAAACCTTTGCGGACGGCCACACATTTCTCGCGCAGAGCGGCGACGGGGCTCGAACCACCGACCTGCCCCATCGAGGCCCCGCTCTTACACCGCTGCGCCAGGCGGCCTCCTTCCCCGGGGCTCAGTCCAGGACGTACCACGCGGAGCCACGAGGTGGCGCCGCAGGCTTCTTACCGCGAGGCGGGGCTGCGCGGAAAGGGGGCCCAGGGCGGCCGCGGCCGGCTCCCACTGCCGGGTGCCCCCGCCGGGACCTTCCCAAGGAGCCCCAGCGCACAAGCGGGGTTGCTTTCTCAGCTGGACGCTCAAGGACTCCTGTTGCGTCGAATGTTTTGAAAACTGCGCACGTAGCGCTGACGGCCGCCGCCGCCGCCGCCGCCGGCTGCCGGGCCTCCCCGCGAAGGGCCACCGGGACCTGAGCCGCTTGCGGGCCCTTCGCGGGAGCGGGTGGGCTCCGTGGCTACACGACGGGTTAATATAGGCTTGCATCCACACTGCGCCCATAGCCAGTCTGGGTCATTGTCGTGGAGCCTGTCCAAGAAGACAGAGAACCGGAGGGTGGGGGAGGCCCAGGACCCTCCAGACACCCCCCACGCACGCGCACACGCACACGCGCACGCGCGCAGGCAAGGGATACAAGACCGTAAAACGGGCACCCTGAGAAGGAAAGAGTTCAATGGAAAGCTACTGGGCAATTCGGGGAGAATAGGGTTAACACGAGCCTGCAAGGGGAGGTGGTTTGGGGGAGGAAGCTAGGGAAACGGTAAGTAGAAGGGTTCGGGGACCCGCGGGGAAAAAGGGGTTAACCCAGGCAGGGCCCCCGAGAAGGGCAGGGAGGAGTCACCCGCCGGCCGCGGGCTCCCCTCCCCGCGGGCTCCCCGCGAAAACAACAGGCCGTGCCGGCTAGCAAGGGGTTAAGGGGGCGGGCCTGGAGGGAAGCCACGTGCCGAGGCGAAAGGCCATTGGTCCTCGCGGGGTTGTTTGTGCACGGCCATTGGCGGCGTCAGGCGCCGCGGCAAGTGGATTGGCTGGGGTCCGGAGGCCCCCGCTGCGCCCGGGTGGGGAAGCTGGCGTCGGAACCGAGCCGCCGAATCGGGCTGCACCGGCTGGGCCGAGTGGAACGGCGAGCGCTGCGCTGGCAGTGACGGAGCCCGAGCCCGAGCGGAACCCGAGGCGCGGCCGCCACCGCCATGCGCTGGGTGCGGGCGCTGCTGAAGAACGCCTCCCTGGCAGGGGCGCCCAAGTACATCGAGCACTTCAGCAAGTTCTCCCCGTCCCCGTTGTCCATGAAGCAGTTTCTCGACTTCGGTACGGAGCTGGCAGCTGGCCGCCCGGGAGGGCTCGGGACTAATGGCGGGGTCCCGGGCGGAGAAGAGAGGCACTGCGCGTCGGGCAAGGCTTGCCAGGAACTGAGTGTGGGCAGGGAAAGGTTAACGGGGAGGAAGGGAAGGACCCGGGCTGAAAGGGTTAAGGGCACCCCCCGCGCGAAAGAGAGACTCTGCGTTGGACTACTAATGGGAGGTGGGGGGCAAAGAGAAGGAGGACTCTGTTTCCTCCTGGGCTGTGTAGGAGGTCTTGGGGGGTGAGGGACTGTGGGGAGGGGCGTGGATAGAGCTGGACTGGAGTAGGGTGGCATTACAGGGTTAACGTGCATTATGACTAGTGTAGAGGAGAAATGTCGGGGTGCTAGTGTCTGGAGCTAGGCAGAGTTGGGGGAGGCGTAGCCATCTGTTAGGAGGAGACCTGGGCTGGCTGGGCACCAAGAGAGCAAGAAAGGGGCCTCTCAGGAGATGCCAACTGGAGGGGGCACTAGCCAGGGTACTGGCACCCCTGAGGGAGCTGCCCCCCTCTCCCCAACTGTCCCAGTGGACAAGGGCATTTGAAGATCAAAGCTGACCTAGGCTGGCACCCTGTCCCAGGGTGGGCTGGGCCCAAGGCACTGTGAGGTGGGTGGAGCCAGGCTGTTCCTACCCTGGGCTGTCCTGGGATTGCACCCACCCCTCCCCCACTCCCCCAGTGTCTGAGATGAGAGGGCTCTGGGGCGGCAGCAAGGCTGTGCCAACGTGGCAGTTGAAGCAGGCGTTGTGTGGGCCTTGTTTATCTCCATGGTGCCAGCTGGAGGCTAGGGTGGGTGGGGGCGTGTGCCCAGGTCTCTGAAGGAATCCTCGTGGCACAGGGGTGAAAGCACTTGGCTGCTAACCTAAAGTTCAGCAGTTTGAACCCACCAACAGCTCCACAGGAGAAAGATGAGACAGGCAGCTTGTGGAAACCCTGTGGGGCAGTCTGAGTCTGAGTGTGGTGTGAGGGTTTGGCCCAGCCTCTGAGATAGGACCTTTCTCAGGTTACAGCTGCGTCACTGACTAGAGGGAGGGGGCAGGGAGGGGGCAGCAGACATGAGGGCACCTGTTGCCCAGGACTTGTTCTCCCACCCCCTGGCCAGTTTGCATCTTAAGCCTCTTGTGCCCACTGCCAGTCCCAGCCGGTGCCCTGCCTGGAAGGCCCCAACGTCGCAGCTGGGAGGAGCTCAAAGACGAGTCCCACTCCTTAGTGCAATGGGAGAAACAGACCTGCAAAAGGGAGGTGACACAACCCAAGTGGCTAGAACCCAGGCCTCCTTATTCAGTACTGCACACCATGGTCTTCTGGAAGCCAGGAACCAGACATTTGGCCTCATCCCGGGCCCTGTTTGTCTCGCAGCTGGGCATTAGTGCAGGGGTCACTTTGCAGTGGGCACCAGGGCCAGCCTGGGTGAGGATGGACACCCTGAGCTGCAGTGGTGTCAGGGTTGACCAGCCCCTAACACATCATCACGGGTCCGGTAGGTGCAATTGTACAGCGATAATAAGCAGAGAGTATAGTAAAGTCCTAGAGAACATGAGAGATAGAAGAGAGAGTGAAATAATGGAGTCAGACACATGTCGTGGTAGCATGCTCACCTCAGCCTCACTTGGTGGTCCACGTGGAGAAAGAGAGATATTCATTGCTAACCAAGGCTTTTATATTCTCTGAGGACATGCAAGCCCCTAAGTACAGGTGAGGACATACATCACAGGAAAGGGTTGTGCTATAGGTAATACAGTAATGGAGGTGGGGTGATCTAGGGGTATCTACGCAATAGGAAGGGGAGGTAATGGGGGTACACATGTGACAAGATGGGCGGGTCCTAGATTCAGGGGCAGCTGACTTTTGGATGTCACTGAGCAGGTTTGACCTGTTCTCTGGCTCACTATAGAAACCATTATCAGCAGGGTGTAAACCCACCCTGCCAGACCAAACTGATGGCCTCTAGCCTTTGGGGAGAAGTAGCCCATTGTCCTTAACAGCAGGGAGTGGACCCTACTTGTGGGACCAGACAGTTGTCTGGCAACTGACTGCCTTCAGGGAGGTAACTTGACAATCATTTACTATTAGCTGCAAGCCTTAGGAGAAATCTTTCTGTTTCCCACACAGTGGTCCCTGCTTAGCTCCCCACCCTGGGCAGGGATATATTTCCCAGACACCACCCACCTGAATCAATTCCCCAAAGTGAATGTCTACTAGGAGGGGAGGGGAGGCAAGAGAACAGCAATCCAGGTGACTTAGGGCAGTTGAGGCATTGCTCCGTTGAAGGAATTGTCCCAAGGGCTGGACAGGGTTTGTGGAGGTATGCTCCTGCAGGGCCCGGAGGCCTGCCTCGCCCTGCCCTTGACCTGGGTACTTCCTCTTGGAGCCCTCAGTCCAGGAAGAGTTTGGTTGGCCAGCCCTCTGGCCCTGGCAACTGCCTTGTGGTTCCCGGACTCATCCCTCTCTCTTCTCCGCAGGGTCCAGTAATGCCTGTGAGAAAACCTCCTTCACCTTCCTCAGGCAGGAGCTGCCCGTGCGCCTGGCCAACATCATGAAGGAGATCAACCTGCTTCCCGACCGGGTGCTGAGCACACCCTCGGTGCAGCTGGTCCAGAGCTGGTGAGACTTCTGGCCAGGGCCCTGCACCCTTCCACTCCATCTCCAGGAGTCCCCGGGCTCAGGGGCGAGGGCTCAGTCTTACGAGGGTAGGGGCAGAGCAGAGGCACAGGGGCTGGGAGAGACCAGGGGAGTTCCCAAGGTCGCAGGAGGGACCATAGGTCAGAGCAGGTTCTGAGTTTGGTAACTTTTGGGGACCTGGAGAAGCAAAGAAGATGTATCGGGTGAACAGATGGCATGACCCCACCTCTAAAGCAGTTCCCAGTGTTGGCAAACATTCAGCTGGACCCAGAAAACCCACCCCAAACAGCTCAGGAGGGCAAAGACCAAAGTTTATGGCGGATGGCCGAGTAGAATTCACTTAAGAACTCTGTCCCCAGTTAAGTAATAGAGTGCCATTAGCCAACGGCTGATCACATGAAGCATTAATCAGGGCCCACTCCGTGCCCAGGGACAGAAGCAGCCAGTGCCAGGCATCTTGTAGGCCGGCGGTGGCTGCCTGGCTGCGGTTTGGTTCGGGATGGAGGACCGTGCGTTGGCGCCCCAGCTGTGCTACAGCTAAGGAAATCGCAGCAGTGGCCCCTGGGCATCCCAGAGCTCATTCATGTGAACATCCTTCTCGAAATCAGAAAACGCCCCCAAGTCAACAACCCTGAGGAATACCACTTTGATTGCTAAGTTCAATCCAGCGGGCTCTTTGGCAATGTGCCACCCTGACCACCGTCATTTGGTCGTTCAGAACACCCAGAGGTGTTAGGCGGGAGGAAACGCCAGCTACACTACCTTTCAGCCCCTCGCCAAGCCCTGTTCGGTGCCTTCTGTTGGTGCCTTTCCAGCAGGTGCCTCATGTGTGAGCAGGCATGTCAGTGACTTCTCGAGAATCGTGGTGAAGCCAAGTGTTCACACACAGGGTCGGTGTGTGCAAAGTGAACGCTGGCCGAGTCAGAAGTGATGGGACAGCTGGACACACAGAGGAGGACTCTGTCACTGGCCCTTAGGGCTTTTGTGGGCCACAGTCCCCAAAGGAAGGAAAGGGCATTCTTAGCTAAAGGAGCGGTATATGTGAGCGCGGAGGCCTGAAAGGCCTGCTAGGGTGGCCAGGGGTGTGCTTGCCGGTGTTGCGCTGAATGTGTGGTGGGGCAGAGAGATCTGAGCCTAGTTTCCACCAGGCCCAAGCAGGCCACCCCCTGCTGGGCCCTGCCCCTTACAGTTAGTTCCAGGGCCTCTGAGCCAGCGCACAGTCCCTGCCACAGGGCAGTGTGGAAGTCACGGGAAGGAGGGAGAAGGTGCCATCTGTTGTCCACAGCCCTTGTCCAGTGTAGTCTGGCTCACTGACCTGGCCACCTCACGAGCTGGCTCTTGGCTCTAGGGAGAGCCGACAGTGGGCCTGGGGGCCGTGTCTGCCACGCCCCTGGCGCGTCTTCAGTCCTTGAGAATCAGTTACACACGCGGGCTGTCCCTATGCTGCCCACCAAGCTTGGAAGCGATGGTGACCAACAGCAGGCGAGAATGGAGTTAGACAGGAGAATGCCCTTCCCCAGGGGATGATTCGGCTTTGAGGCCAGCAGGCCAGAGAGGACTGAGTCATGAGTATTCTAACACACTGAAGAGACACCCTTCTGGGGGGGGTGGCCTTCCGGAGAGAAATGGGTATTGGCTGCAGCAAGAAAGACAAAGGTTTGAGGGCAGGTACAGGGCGACTGTCCCCGGGAGACGCCCCTGCCAGCATGGACGATGGAGAGGTGAGATGGGCACGGCTGCACAGGAGGCAGGGGCTTGTCGCCAGGGGGCCAGCAAGAGGGCTACTGGTCTCAGCGTCAGGCACCAAGAGAAAAACCTCCCTGCAGAAAGGGGGTGTCCTGGATAAAGGCTGCTGTCAGCCGTCCATCGGCATGGCTAAGTGTCCATCCACTCAGCTGGGGAAAGGGTGGAGGCTGGACTTGCTGGAGGGTGGCTAAGAAGTCCTGGTTCTAGATCAACCTGCCCAGGTTTGGTCCAGTGAGACGGAGCATCGGAGTTGGCTGGAAAATAGCAGGAAACCCTGCACGTGGCTCCTTGTTCCTGCCCCCGACTGCCACCAAGTCCACTCGCCGTATGGCCAACCCCATGGGCCTCAGGCCACAGCACGGTTTCCAGTGACTGATTTTTCAGGAAGAAATCACCTGGCTGTTGAGTTGCCTTTGGAAGGACTTGAACTGGCAACCTTTCAGGGAGCCGCCAGTGTGTGAACCATTTGCCCTGATTCTAGGTGAGCCTTGGCGGGCCAGTTCTGTTGCTGCAGGTCACATGCCAACTAAAGCTGAGAGGGTGGGGCTTGATGCCCCAGGCCAGCGGTGATGTCACCGTGCTGCTCTGCTGGACCACGGGCCTCGAGGGCCACTGTGGGAAGGCAGTGATCCAAGTGTTGATGTGGATGAGCTCACCCTTAGGGCCCTGGCCTTGTTGGTGCCTGTACTTTAGAGATGAGAGTGAAACCCAGAGAGGGTAGGCGCCCCGTCTACAGGAAACCCTGCAAGCAGAGACCCAGGGAGTGCAAACAGCTGACCTGTTCAGCTGACTCCATCCGGAGGTGCTTCAGAAGAAAGGCCTGGCGATCCACTGCCCCCGGACATTAGCCATTGGAACCCCTCGGGAGCACCGTTCTTCTCTGACACCGTGGGGGGTGTCACCCTGCGTCAGAATTAAGTCCCCAGCTGCTGCTGTAGGAGGTGGTGGGGCCAGGACTTGAAGCCAGGCAGGCCGAGCTTGAAGAGGAAGGGAGAGCTGTGAGCGGGAAAGTGAGGTAGAGTCAGCTGCGCCCCGGAGGGGGGACGGGATGGGCCTTGGAGCAAGGCGGAAGAGACGTCTCTGACATCACAGAGCGGAGGACCCCCACCCCCACCAGGAGCTCCCAGCGGTGCCAGGCTGCAGGTTGCCAAAGTTGGCAGCCGTAGCCCTCCTGGGTGGATGGGGTCTCCTCTGGGTGAGGGCTTGTCCCTGCGGTCACAGTGCAAGCCAGTGGGACGCAGCGTTCCCTGGACCGGCCCCGTGGGCTGGCTTGTGCTGCTCGGTGTCCCTTGTGAGGGCCCAGCCACCAAGCACACCTGTGGCGTCATGGGGATTTGCTTCCAGGACAGCGAGGGTTAAGGCAGAGTTGCCAAGTGGGAGCCAATGGCAGTGAGTCACTCCTGTCACCAACAGAGGCTTTGTGGGGGCTGCCGGGAAGGAGGAGGAGAAGATAAGGCCGCTGTCGCCTGCCCTGAACCACCCCACTCCCTGTCAGGTGTGGGGCCCAGGTTCACCCCGGAGCATCCCCGCCCTCCCACCACACACCTCCACAGCCAGTCCTTGTCCTTGAGGCGAGCACTGCACAGTAGTGGCCCGGTGCTCTTTCCACAATGGCTGTAGAAGCGTGGGCTTAGCCTCCCCCGCCCCCTGAAGTGGCTGCTGCTCTGAGTCTGGTGGTGGAGACGGGCACCTGGGCCTCTCGGGGACCTCTTTGGGGCAGAGCTGCAGAGGAACCCAGATCTGCCTGGTTTGGGGCCCACACTGCCTTCCACCCTTCTCCAGTCACAGCTGTCACCTCCTGCAGCGCATGGAGCCACACACACACTCCCTGAGCCACACTGCTCCCACACATGCCTGCGCACACCCTTCCTCCCCTCCCCGCCACACCAGTGACAGCATTCACAGACTTGCTGGGCCTTGCCCCCACCTCCCTGGGCCTGCCTCCCAAATCCAGGGCACTAGGCTGGCACGAAGCAGGCTGTCTTTATTTCTGTCAGACAGGAGAGCCCAGAAGGCAGTGTCCGTCTGGGTGGGCTTCCACGTGCCCCCAGGCTGTGGGGAGGATGCTCCAGATCTTACCCAGGACCCTTGGCGACCTTGTGTTCTGCCAAGTTCAGCAGGCCCAGAGACCCCCGCCTGCCTCGGGCTTTGTGTAGGCTGCCAACTGCTCAGCCTGGAAGGGTCCCAGGCCTCCGAGCTGAGTTAAGCCTGATTCTGTCTGGCCCTCGCAGGGTGGGCAGCCTGGGAGGCAGCATTGTGTCATTCCTAGAGTTTCTTCCTTTACAAACCAAGCCCTGCTCCAGGGTGCCTGCGAGCTAAATGTCAGGTTCCTGGAGGCTTCAGGGAGGATGGTCTAGGGAAATCCCTCCCAGCCTGCCCTCTCTCCCTTTGAAACACTCCCTGAGAGGCAGGGGTCAGCAGAGGGATCCCACACCCTGCTGCCCGGCCAGGCCGCTGTTGGCAGACTCATCGGGTCTACTGTTGACCCATCCTGGTGCCCTTTGCTTCACTGCACTGCCATGTGACCAGGTCTCATGTCTGCCCTCTAGAGGCCATTGGGCAGCCATGCAGGGACGGTGCCAGCAGCTGGGGCGCTGCCTTCTGCTGGATGCTGGAACTCTGACCTGCCCCCTTGCCTCAGACCTCTGGCCAACCACAGTCAGCCTCCTAGGCCTGACCTCCTTCCTCCTCACCCCCAGCTCTTGGGAAGGTGGTTCCCAGCCCTGCGGGTTCTCCCCCTCCAAGAAGCCTATCAGCATGAAGCTGCCTCCCTCCACCCTCATGCCTTGAGGGTTGGAGCCCCCCAGGCCTGGGATAGAAAGCCCTATCTCTGTATAGCTACCTTCTGTCAAATGGGCCTAGCACGCGTGCCCACCCACCTTGCAGGGTTGTGGTGGTCACAGGGTGGTAAGCAGGTGAGCCTGAGCAGGGGTCTGGCCCAGACAGACTCAGCTTCATCAAAGCCGTCACTGTGAGCACCATGTGGACACCAAGCCGTGGGGTGGAGATTTGTAGTTGGGCAGGCCTGGGTTTGAATCCCAGAGGGGGTGCATACATCACCCTCAGAACCAGTGTCCTTGCCTGCACACAGGGAGTTATTTCCCACTCATCAGGCTGTTGGGAGATGAGACCCGTGCAGGGCTCTGAGCATCGGGGCCATTGCTGAGCCCTTGGTAAGCGTTGGCCCCCCTGTCTCTTGGGAGGTAGAGGTGAGGTCCCTGAAGTGCCACACTGATTGGCCTGGGTGGGAGGAGGGGCCGGCTGGGCCCTGGGGTGGAAGCGGACCTCTTCCCCACCCCTGCATCAGCCACTTAGCTGCCTTGTTCATCCATGTGTTGGGGGCACGGGGCTGGGCCCTGTGGACCCCTCCTTCCCAGGGCTGAGACAGACCCCATTTCTGCCAGTTTCCCCGGGTCCAAGAGACAGACATTATTGAGGGGACAGAGGAACTACTGGGTATATTTTCATCATAAATAAATACATATGTATTTTAAAACACCTCATTTTCCTGATGTGGAATCTCAGGTCCAGAGAGGTCCCACAGCCCACTCCCCAGCAGGGGTATGCAGCTCAAAGTGGACCGGCCAGGATTAGAGGTGGGCTGAGCCAGCTCCCAGGCGAGTTCTTCCCGCACTATGTGTCTACAGGCACACAGTGAGGCTCGAGGGGTCACCGCCCTGGATAGGCCAGAGCCCTGGAGACTGCCGAGGCTGGAGGGGTGAAATGGGCTGTTAGTCCTCCCCTCGCACTCGGGAGCTCTGGTGGCACAGTGGTTATGTGTGGGCTACGAACTGCAAGGGCAGTTTGAAACCAGCAGCCACTCTGCAGGAGGAAGATGGGATGCGGGGAGCCCTGCCCCGCCCCGTGGGGTCACTCTGAGTTGGTATCCCCTTGATGGCAGTGAGTTTGGGTTTTGTTTTTACCTACTCACTGCCGATGAGGCTGTTCCCCGAGAGCGACACTCTAGGACAGAGTAAGACTGCCCTGTGGCATTCCCAGGCTTTCACTCTGCGGGCAGGTAGCCTCGTCTTCCTTTCATAGAGGCAGCTGGTAGGTTTGAACTGTTAACCTTGCAGTTGGCAACCCAGCTCATAACCCAACACCTCCAGGGTTCTTCTCTTATCAATAGGGACTCTAAAACCAGTTGCCCTTCCTGACTCACTCCTGGTGATCCCGCGGGACTTTCAGCGGCTGGTTTTGGGAAGTAGATCGCCAGGCCTTTCTGTCGCACCTCCCAGGGCTTCACTGTCATTTGGAGACCCCAAATCAAAGGCTCTCTAAGAGGAATCGATAAGGTCTGACTACATAGCTGAGTGTGCTGTCAGGGAGAGCCCCCCACTCAGGAAGGGGATTGATTGGGAAGACTGGCCCGGCATGGCCAACAGTACAGCCGTGTGGTGTCCACAGAGTCGGGGCAAGAGCTGAGTGCTGCTGCCAAGTGTGTGTGTGTGTATGGGGGGGTGGGGCAGCCCTGGCCCGGTCCGGAGCTGAGGCCAATGTCCCCACCCGCAGGTATGTGCAGAGTCTCTTAGACATTATGGACTTCCTGGACAAGGACCCTGAGGACCACCGCACCCTCAGCCAGTGAGTGAGGTTGGGCAGGGGAGCAGGTGCAAGCCAGGGCATCTGGGCCCAGGGTCCGGGGCGTCTGAGGGAATGACTGACCCCTGCCCTGAGCAAGATCCAAGCTGAGAGAGGAGAGCGCCCCTGCTTTAGGCAGCCCCCAAGTTTGCTGGGAGAGAGACAAGACTCCATTCTTGGGGAGGCCTTTTCTCCCAGAGACAGCCTCTGCCCGCCACCAGGCCTTGCCCTGGGGGACCCCACTCGGAAGAACTGTGAGCTTGCAGAGGAGTGAGGTGCAGGGTGGGATTGTGGGAGGGCGTGGCTTGTGGGCAGGCACAGTGGGTGGAGACACTGGAGGGGAGAGGAGTGGCGGGGAGCCTGAGGGGTACCCCCCAGGGCTGGGCAGGAGCAAACACTGCCCCTCCCGGGCAGGTTCACAGATGCCCTGGTCACCATCCGGAACCGTCACAACGACGTGGTGCCCACCATGGCACAGGGGGTGCTGGAATACAAGGACGCGTACGGCGATGACCCCGTCTCCAACCAGAACATCCAGTACTTCCTGGACCGCTTCTACCTCAGCCGGATCTCCATCCGCATGCTCATCAACCAGCACAGTGAGTGGAGACGGGAGGGGGGCACGTCACGGGGGATGCTCGGGAGCCCTCGACAACGAGGCACTGGCCCCAAAGTATACAGAGGAAACCGCAACTTTGACCGTTGTCGAAACGAGGTCACCCTTCTAGAAAGTAAGTTCGGTCTTCCTGGGAGCGCTCAGGGCATTCCCAACTCGTGGTGTGTAGCATCACATACTCCAGTGTTTACTGTGATGTTGAGAAGTCAGCCAGGCACACGTCAAAATGATGTCATCCCGCTCAAAGCATCTCAAACGCAGGCTGGTAAAGATTACCTTTAAATGTCTCAGCAAAAAGAAAAATAATGCAATGGGGGGATCTGGGCACTTTTCCTGTGAGCTGTGAACAGAGTAGGGGCTTCTAGAAAGATGGTCTAGACATGGCCTGGGGGGGCTGGGAAGGGCGTGTGCATCTTGAGACTCAGCGTACCCCTGGAGCACAGCAGTACAGGCAGCAGGATGAGCCTCCCCCGGGGGGAGGGAAAGTTGGGGGGACCCTGCCAACAGCCCCTTCTCTCCCTGCTCCCAGCCCTGATCTTCGAAGGCAGCACCAACCCAGCGCACCCCAAACACATCGGCAGCATCGACCCCAACTGCAACGTCTCTGATGTGGTGAAGGGTGAGGCAGCCCCACCGTGCCCAGCCCCCCGAGACCCGGAAGTGGATCCCTCCCCGCGTGGGCAGGGCCCCCTCCCTGTACCATTCCTGTTGGCGATGCCCAATGGCCCTGCCAAGAGGACTGCCCGCTGGGTGGACCGTGGCCCCTGCCCTGACTGGCCCTGCTCTTCTCTCAGATGCCTACGACATGGCCAAGCTCCTGTGCGACAAGTATTACATGGCCTCACCTGACCTGGAGATCCAGGAGATCAATGGTGAGGGCGCGCAGGTGCGCGTGCGCGTGTGTGTGCGTGCGCACGGGTGTCTGTCTGCGGGCCTGGGCCGGGGCAGAGGGAGGTGAGGTCGGGCTGTTTTTCTGGACAGCGTAGAAGCAAAAGTGATAGCTTCCTATTGTGCTGTTTATTAATTCGGTTCTTAGGAAACAGCGAGGTCCCTTTGCTGGGCGCTTACCCTCTCCGCACTGGGGAGGTGATCTTGAGCCCACGGGCAGATTCACACACACTATGCTGTCCAGCCATAGTCGGAGACAGGAAGGAAATCAAACAGGGTGGCACGGGGGGTGGGGCCAGGTGTGTGTGAGGTGGGTTCTCGGTCGGATGTTTTTCCAGAACCCAGGTCACAGCGACGTAACTCAGGAATGCTTGCCTCTCTCCAGCCTCCGGGATGGCACGGTCAAAGCTGGCTGCCCCCAGTCATGGCTGGGGGCCAGCCTGGAGGAAGAGGGGAGGGGTGGTGGTGCAAGGCAGGGCCTAGGCCACGGGGCGACACTTCACTTGCATAAATCACGTGGCTACAGCCAGCTGCAAGGAAGGGTAGATGTTTAGAAAATGGCTGGACAGTATGTGCTCCGTTGACATTTGGGAGGGAGAGGTTCTCGTGTCAAGAAAGAAGGACCCACTGGATGTGAGAGGATGGACAGAGCGGCCAGGAGGGCTTCCCCAAGGAGGGAAGTGGGGAGCTGGGAGGCAGAAGGGTGAGGAGTTGGACAGACTGCTGTGTGGGGGCCATGGGGAGGAGCCTGGGTTCTGAGTGCAGTGGAAAGGGGGGCACCGGATGTGACATTCTAAAGATGGGGGGGTGCATGATGTGGGACAGGAGGAAAGTCAAAGGAAATAGAGGAAAGAACTAGGAGGCTAAGGGCATTTATAGAGGTCTAAATACAGGCATGTATATATACAAATATATATGACGTTGGGGAAATAGATCCATGTGCATATATTTATAGGTTAGTATTAAGGTAGCCATTGGGCCCCTACTCAAGTACTCCCTCAATGCAGGAATACTTTGTTCTATTAAATTGGCATTCCATGATGCTCACCTTCCCGACACAACCGCTGAAGACAAAGCCAGTGCATAGCAAATGTGGTGAAGAAAGCTGAGGGTGCCTGGCTATCAAAAGATATAACTTCTAGGGTCTTAAAGGCTTGAAGGTAAACGAGCTGAGAAGCAATAAAGTCCACATGGAAGAAGCACACCAGCCTGTGTGATCACAAGGTGTTGATGGGATCAGGTATCAGGCATCAAAGAACAAAAAATCATAATGTGACTGAGTGGGAGTTCGGAGTGGAGATCCAAAGTCCATCTGTAGGCAACTGGACATCCCCTTACAAAAGACTTGTGGGGAGGAGACAAGCCAATCAGGGTGCAGTGTAGCACCAATGAACATACAACTTTCCTCTAGTTCTTTAATGTTTCCACCCCCCACACTATCATAATCCCAATTCTACTTTCCAAATCCGGCTAGACCAGAGGATGTACACTGGTACAGATAGGAGCTGCAAACACTGGGAATCCAGAACAGATAAGCCCCTTGGGACCAATAATGAGAGAGCGATACCAGGGAAGGTGGGAGAAAGGGGGAACCGAACATAATGATCTACATGTGACCCCCCTCCCTGGGGGACGGACAACAGAAAAGTGGGTGAAGGGAGACATCGGACAGTGTAAGACATGAAAAAATAATAATTTATAAATTATCAAGAGTTCGTGAGGGAGGGTTGTACGAGCCCCCAATAAAATGATTTTTAAAAGATGGGGGTTGGAGGAACAGAAAAGAATTCAAGTGGAGGTTTCTGCAGGAGTCCGAGAATGGAAGGCTGGGGCGTTTGCACAAGCAAAGCAGTGCTGCGTGGCAGCTGTGGCTTGCGCCTGCGGAGAGGAAGGTCCGGTGGCAGGCCACAAGGCAGGCCATTGACTCAAACGAATGAGGTGGATGAGCCAGAGGCAGGATCCAGACCCAGCACAGAGCAAACGAGCCATCCTGTGGCACCCACCCCCACCTGTACCTGCACAGGAAGTGGGCCCGGCCCAAAGGAGACCTCTGAATTGCATCAGGGCGGTGCGCCATTTGAGGTAGGGGTTGGATCCCACCCTCATCTCACAGCTAACAGCATCATGTTAGGTCACCAACGGAGGTGGGGGGTGGGGATTACGAGGCCTTCACCGCCAGGCTGCTAAGAATTCTGGCCCAGCCAAGTTGACACAAAACCCCGAGCCTGTCAATCACACCAAGCAAGGGCGGAAGAAAGGAGCTAGATGGGTGGACATGATAACCGTCATGAAGGTAGCAGTGTCAAGACTTGCTGAGCAGGAGGGAGGTGCCTGGCTGCATAGGGGGGGAAAGGGCAGGAATCTCGAAGTATCACCCACTCTCCCTCCCCCGACACACCAGCTCCTCAGCTAGTATACCTGATGTTCCATACCTCTACCTCAAAGTCACCTGCCCACGTTCCTTAATTTCCGGTTCTAGCCCAGCGTCTCCAGAAAGCCTTCCCAGACTGGCTGCCCTGCCGCAGGCTCCTCTGCGTACTGTCCTGCAGGCACTAGACGGCCGGTGGGATCAGCGTCTGTTGGTGCCCCAGACTCTAGCCCGGTGTCAGGGGCGGGGTGTACACCTAATGGATGGTTGGATGGTCAGGTAGATAGGACTTAGGTTGGGTGGCTATGGGCCAGACAGGTAGTTGGTTGAAAGGGCACCAGATGGTCGGACTGTGCAGAGGGACGGACTGGCTGCTGGATCCTGAGTGCAGGAAGGTCGTGATTTTGACAATTTCCTGTTCTTTGTCCTTGACTTTCCCCCAGCATCCAAGCCCAAACAGCCCATCCACATGGTCTACGTCCCCTCCCACCTCTACCACATGCTTTTTGAGCTCTTTAAGGTGAGGAGACGGAGGGGCAGTCCCTTGGGGGCCAGAGTGTGGGCAGCTCTCACTGTGTCCTGCCTGGTTCTCCCTGCAGAATGCCATGCGAGCCACCGTGGAAAGTCACGAGTCCAGCCTGGTTCTGCCCCCCATCAAGGTCATGTTGGCCTTAGGAGAGGAAGATCTGTCCATCAAAGTATGCCCTGGGAACCAGGGAGTGGACGTGGGGAGGGGGGCTAATTTGGCCTCCTCCAGGCCCCCCACCTGCCAGGAGCAGGGCTCTCATCTCATCCTCCCCTGTGGGGTGAGCTCAGGGCAGCTCCTGGGGATGGGGGTGCCAGGGAGGGGAGGGCCATGGTATAAAGCTCAGTTCAGGAGAGCCCCTGACATTTCCCATCTCCCCCAGATGAGTGACCGAGGCGGGGGTGTCCCGTTGAGGAAGATTGAGCAACTCTTCAGCTACATGTACTCCACAGCACCCACCCCCCAGCCCGGCACCGGGGGGACCCCATTGGTGAGCACACCACACCAGCTCCCTTCTGCCTCCCCTTTTGTCTTTTCTCACCCGATTGTCACCCTGCCACACCCCTCACTCCGCACCATTATTGTGGCTGCATTGGGGGGTGCACATCTCCCCCTTGTCCCCTCTTCCCCCAGCCCACCCATCAGTGTCTGTCTGCCAGTGTCTCCCTTCTGTCTGCCCCCCCTGCATTACCACCTTCCTGTGCACTTTGTTCAGCTATCCAACCAACGGCCACCTGTCCCCACCTCAGGGAGGGTCTACCATCCCATCGTACAGATTGGGAGCCCCGGGACCCGTCTAGACTGGTGCCTAGGGCTTCTGGCTACTGGAGTAGGGCTCTGCCCCTCCCCACAGCCGGTCCCTATCCCCCCACCCTGCGCCTTACCCTCCTCTTCCCAGCTGATTGTACCACACTGCTGTGCCCCAGCGCTGGGGTAGTACCCCATGTAACCCCACCCCATGTAACCCCAGCTCAGCTCCCTGCACCCACTCCTATGTTTCCATCAGCACCCCAACACCTGCCCCAGCAGCTGCTAGGTGCCAGCATCTCACCCCTTGCTCCTGCCCCCTCCCAGGCTGGCTTTGGTTACGGACTCCCTATTTCCCGCCTCTACGCCAAGTATTTCCAGGGGGATCTGCAGCTCTTTTCCATGGAGGGCTTTGGGACCGACGCTGTTATCTATCTCAAGGTGAGGCCTGTCCAGAGCGCTGGGCTGAGGGTGCACCCAGCCCTCCCAGCCCAGCCAGTCTCATTCGGGGAATTGGGGCAGAGCTATAGTTCCTCAACCTGGCTCCGCCCCCAGACTCTCACAGCAGGGTAGACAGTTTCAGAGAGCCCATACCCAGGATTAAGGCCCTGTTCTGGAGGCCCTGGCCACCTTAGACCTGGAAGGGAAAGCAAAGAGAGCTGTCCCCCAGCTCCCCTCCTCTTTCTTGAAGTGTGGGGCCAGACACCCAGAGACAGACCCTTTCCTGGGCACCCCAAGAGGTGCCTGTGGGCTGGGCTGTGATTTACACACAGCAGTGGCCCCCACAGCCCATGTGGGGGAAGGGGTGTGGTGGGAGCAGCAGGGCCAGGCAGTGGGCAGAGCTGACCCAGACGACTGTCCCGTCCCGTCCCCCCCAGGCCCTGTCCACAGACTCGGTGGAGCGCCTGCCCGTCTACAACAAGTCAGCCTGGCGCCACTACCAGATCATCCAGGAGGCTGGCGACTGGTGTGTGCCCAGCACGGAGCCCAAGAACACATCCACCTACCGTGTCAGCTAGGGGCACCGTCAGTGACACCTGGGAGGATGGACTGCCGCCTCGGGCCGGTCACCACGGTGACCGTCCCCATCCCGCAAGGTCTGGGGCGGGGGGTCTCCCTAATGACCAGGTGCTGTCTGTATGGAATCACTGCAGTGATCAGTGTGTGTGGCCCCCTAAGTGCCAATCTCTGTCTCCATGGAGACCCCTAGCGGGCCTCCCTGGTGTCCAATCTCTGTGGGTAAAGCCTAAGAGTAGGGGGACAGCTCCACCCTGAAGGGGGGAGTCCCAGAGATACTGTTCATGGCCGTCCTCTCCAAGGCCCAGCTGTCACTTTTTGCCAGGGGTCCTGGACCCCCTCACTGCCCTCCTTTCACACGGATGCCCCTGCTTGCCTTATCCCCCAGCCTTGGATCTGGCCTGCAGTCAGTGTTAGGAAGGTTGTGGGTGCCCCCAGATCTGCAGTAGAGGGGAGAGAAGGGGGGAGTCCCGGGGGGCCCCCCTGTGAGGGCCTGACAAGGAGCAGTCTGGGAGCTAGAGAAGTGCCCACCCAGCCGAGCTCAAGCCCTGCAGGCGCTCAGTAGTGAGCTCTCCCTCCCCAGCCCTCCCGGCATGTCCTCATGCACACACCACCGCTGCCCCCGGTCCTGCCTGTGCCCCCACCCCAGCTCCGCCATCCCCAGCTGCCCAAGGGCCTGGGGTGGCTTCCCTTCTAGAATGCTCTGTGTACATAGCTAGTTTGGTAGCCCCTTCCCCGCACACGGGGTTAGAATATGTACTCCTTACCGCCCCCCTGGCACGGTGGGACCGTGACCCCCACAGTAAAGACATCAGGAATGAGGCTTGAGCCTGGTTGCTTTCCTGGGGGGCAGGGGGCGGGAGCCTGTGACCAGCACAGGGCACTCCGCCTGGCCCGGGATGGGCCAGGGCCATGCAGTCATGCCGGGCAGCCCAGGATGGATGTGTGGTTGTGGTGCCCACCCCCCCACGACACAGCTGCGCTCCCTGCCCCTGCCCCAGCTGGGGCCAACAGAGGGTCACTGGCACGCCAAACGTGTTTATTGAGATAAATGGAGACCCGCCTTCCCTCGCATGCAGGTGGGCACCCACCAGACACAGGTGCCTTCCACCCTCTGGGCCCCCCTAGCAGCCCCCCTCCCAGCACAGGGCAGAGGGGGAGTCCCAGGAACACCATGGAGGCAGCGGCTCTCTGGAGAGAGGAGCTCGCTGCACCGCCCCTCCCAGCATGCACTACTGCCTGCCCTTCAGTCAGAAGCTGTTGGCCTGCCCCATGTCTGCTCTCTCCAATACCCCCTAACAAGGGCAGACTAGTTGGAGTTGGCCCCCACCCCCACCCCTGCCCAGAGGGCTGGCCTTGACCTCCTGGTAGCCCAGAATCAGTCAATCTCCCTGCACATTCCACCAGCTCTGAGGTCCTGACAGGTCAGGAAGGACTGGTGACCTGTCCGGCACACTGGCGCCCAGTGACTACCCAGGCAGTGCCCCTGCCTGGCTGGGCTGAGGACTCCAGGGTGGGTGGGTGGAAGGGTGGCCACTCTAGCCTCGAAGCTTGCTCTGGTCCCACAGGGGGTCCTGGTGGCCTGTGAGGGAGCAGGAGGAGAGATGGGCCCTGGCTTGGGGAGTGGGTCAGAGGCCTGGCCTGGAATGGGCCCCAGGGAGGGCAGACTTGACGGGAGAGCATCTCCTCACCCACGGGGGCTGGGGGGCAAGACAAAGAAGAGGAGGGTCGTCTTCCCTCCAGGGTCCTCACAAAGACCTCAAAGAGCCCCGTGCTGCTGCTCTTCTGTCCTGCTGGGCAGTCTGGCTGGGAGTCTACCCTGAGTATGACTTGCTGCAGTGCCCACTGGTGGCCTGGGGAGCAGCCAGTGCTCTCCCAACCCACAGCCGCCTTGGTGAGCCGGGAAGGAACACCCACGGACCCTGAGACCCTCGGCCCTCTTGGGGGTCCTGGAAGGCAGGCATCGCAGCTCACTTCTGGCCTGAGGGCTGAGGGTCAGCCTGACCCAGGCCCCCCTGGGATCTGGGGGCTGTGCCTGCTGCCCTGGCCTCTCTGCTGACGTCCCCTGTTCTGCTGCTTCCCTCCTCCCCAGGAACGCTGTGCTGAACAAGCCCTGGAAAGGATTATTCCTGGCCCTTCTCCCTGGGGTTCCAGATCCAGACAGTGAGAGAGCGTGTGTGCCCCAAGAGCATGGGGGCCAGGCTGCGCCCCGCCTAGTGCTGAGGCCGTGCCCGCCCCCTAGCTCTTCTTGGCCTCCTGCTCTCTGCGCCGCAGCTTCTCGCGCTGCCTGGCTGCCTTCTCCTGGGCCTTGCGCTCCTTCTCCGAGGCGGCTGCCAGTTCCTTTAACTTCCGCTTGACCAGCGCTCGGTCCTGCGAGCTGCTGAGCCCCAGGCTCTGTGGGGGAGCCCGGGGTGAGGGGGAGAGTTCCACAGCCACCGGGGCCCCTGCTCATCTTTTCAGGGTCCTCCTCGCTGTAGCTCAGGAAGTTCCCTACAAGGCGCTTCTAGCTCCCAGGCTCAGAAGGGTCAGAAGGCAGGAGAAGTGAGGGTTAAGCATACCAGGCTCCCAACCCTCCAGCCTTCAAGCCCCTGTGGCCTGCCCAGCTCCTTGATGGTCAGACCTCCCCACGGCCCACCCCACAGCCAGCTGCTTCTGGGCTGGCGGGAGAAGCACTAAGGAGACCCGAAGACAGGTCTGGCTTCTCAGAATACCAGGAGGCTTATCTGCAGTCAAGGGTCAGAGGGTAGATCATCTTAGAGGTCAAGATCAGCCCAGGACCCTGGGTTAGAGCTCAAGGCCAATCAAAGGATTGGACCTGAGTGCCCGAGGAGATCGGAAACCCGCACTAGAAGACAAAGATCGGCCCAGGACCTTGCCTAGAGGTCAGGGCAGTAGCCTTGGGGTGGAAAGGTCAGGCCCCACTCCCCACCCCCGGAGGCTGAGCCAAAGATCGAAGGTCAGGTTGAGTGAGCGCCAGGGTTCGGGTCTTGGTCACAGCCTCTCCCCTGGGACCTACCTTCAGTTTGCTCCCATCCAACTGCAGGAGCTGGGGCCCGTCCACTTGCCACGCGGCGAACTCGGGGGCATGCTGCCCCAGGTGGAGGCTGTGCAGCCACTCGCCCACCTGCTGGCTGGTCCAGTGGTGGACAGTGGGGAGGGGCTCGTCCAGGAACTGGGCAGGGACAAGAGTGAGGGGTGAGGCTCAGCCCTCGGCCTGCACAGTCAGAGGCCAGGCCAAATGGCATGAGGGCCAGCCGTGCTCACCTCGTCCGAGGACTGGGACAGTGTGTGGTAGGGGTAGGAGCACTTGGCCTCTTGCCGGGGGTCACCAGGGATCTTGGGGCTGCTGCTGGGGGGCGTCGAGTCATCACTCAGGGTGGATTCCTGCACAGAAAGGGGTACATGTACCTGAGGGGAGAGCTCACCCCAAGCCCTAGGAGACCTCTGGCCTCAGAGAGCAGAAAGCTGTCCAGAGGATGTGGGGTCAGAACTGAGCCAGGCAGAAGGAACAGAAGTCTCTGGCTAGGGGGGCTTCCTCCAGGCAGTCCACCATGCTCCCAGCAGGCCAGCTCAGGTGCCTGCCACTGGGGCCTCCTGCGCTCGGGTCCAAGGTGTTTGGCTTGTTCAACATGGTAGCTCCAGGGCCCAGCACGGGGGAAGGAAGGATGAACAGATGGAGGCGGGCATGCAGGGAGGAAGGAAAGAAGGAAATTCCGCATTGGAAGGGGCTGCATCCCCTCGGAATCCTCAGCATCCTGGTCTTCTCGGCGCACGAGGAACAAAGCCAGAGAAGGAGCACTGGGCCTGGGACTGCTCAAACTCATGCCATCGAGTCGATTTCGACTCAGATTGACCCTATAGGACAGGACAGAACTGTCCCTGTGGGTTTCTGAGCGTGTAAATACAGGGGTACAAAGCCCCTTCTTTCTCCCTCCAATCGTAGCCCAGCACATAAGCACGAAGCCATCATAGAGCCTTGTCACTAAGGCTGTGAGTGTACCAGTGGTCCCTTATCTGGGAGCCTTTCCCTTTCTCGTGAGCACCAGCGCAGAGCAGGCCTGGGCTGCGGAGATGCTGTGCGGGACAGGCGTGTGTGCCGGGCACTGGACATGGAGGGCTCTGTGTCTAGCAGCCAAACACTGCACACGGAGCTCGCCTTTCCCGGCCCCGCTTCTCCCGCAGAGCCTGAGCACCAGAAATCCATGCCAATGATTCCATTCCAATCCCAACTCAGGGCAACCGAGCTTGGGCCCCTGCTCATCCCTGCTCCCCTTCAGCCTGGCCCCAGACACACAGGTGGCCCAGTTGCTGACCCGGTAGTCAGTGTGTGAAGTGGAGGAGACACAAATCCACCAGTGAGCTGCAGGGACTGAATGAGTTAGTGAATGAAACCATGACCCCGTGAGTGACAAAACTCCAGGAAGGCCAGCCTGGGCCAGGGCACGTGTGCCCTCCTCTCACCCGATCGGGGTAGGGGCTCTTTAGGGGCCAGTCAGGGCTCACCTGAGAAGCTGACTTCTTGGGGCTGAAGCCCTCATGTTTGGGGGAGCAGGCAGGGGAGGTGGTGCTGCCGGAAGACGCTGAGCCTTTGCCACTGTCTGTGAACCAGGAGAAGGGCAGGAATGGGGAGCCCCCGGATCTGCCAGACCCCTCCACTGACTCCCTGTGGAGAGAGCACCCAGCATGGGTGGAGGCACGGAGGAGAAGGCCAGGTGCCCCCAGGGAGCTAGGAGCTGACACTGGGTGGGCAGTGTGGCTTCAGCCTACCTGCTCCCCATGGACAGGCGGTTGCTGCCCTTCTCCTTCCGGCTCTTGCCTGTGGATGCTCGGCGCAAGGTGACTCTGCGGGAAGGGCAGGGGAAGTGGGGCAGTGCTGCCTGCAGCCCTGCCCCAACCTCATAGCTCTGAGCCCCGGGCTCTAGCTCCTCTGCTCACCCCAGGTCCAGGAATTTCCGGCGCGTCTTCTTATCCAGGCCGATGGGAGGACTAGCAGGCTCAGGCGGGCTGGCGTCCCGGCTGTCATCTTGGAGGACAGGTGAAAACAGAGTAGTGGGTGTGATGGAAATTCTCTAGACTTAGATTCAGGCAGCCTGGCTGGCTCTGGTGTCCTCTAGTGGCTGTCATAAGTCGTGTCTTCCCTAAACATCCTTCATCTCATCATAACAAACCAATCTGTCTTAGAACATGTACAGAGTGCTCCTTAGGAGAGAGGGAGGTGAGACTTTGTCTCATGTGCTTTGGGCATGTGATCAGGGGAGGCCAGTCCCTGGAAAAGGACATCATGCTTGGTAAAGTAGGGGAAGGTCCTCAACAAGATGCATCAACATGGTGTCTGTGGGCTGGGACAGTATTTTGTTCTGTGGTCCCCAGCGTTGCTCTGAGTCTGAACCCACCCGATGGCACCACCACCACCGGCTTGTTCGTGGGGCCAACGGGGGTCCCTGAGGAGCCCTGCTGGGGCAGCGGCCGTGTGCTTGGTGTGGTCCAAGCCCGCTGACAGTCGGCTTCAGTTAAGATGACATCTTCTGGGGGTGATGCACTAGACTGGGAACCAAGCCCCCTGCATGCTCAGGAGGTGGAGACCACTACTGTCCCTGTGTCCATTCTAGCTTTCTGATTCTGGCCCACAGCTCCTTCCCCCAATGATCCAGCCAGAATGTCCCATGGACGTCAGACGTCCATCCGGCACAAGGCACAAGCTCTCTCCCTCCCTGCCCCGTTCCCTCGCAGGGCACTGAATGAGGGGGTGACCTCACTTTCTACCCACACCTCTCAATTCCTAGTCATGGTGAACCCCGTGTGCAGAGCGGAACTGGGTTTTCAAGGCTGTGTGTGACCTTTGGTAAGCAGATTGCTGCCAGGTCTGCCATCCGAGGGACCCTGGGTGGGTTTGAACCACCAACCTCTGCTTAGTAGTCTAGCGCTTAACCATTTCAGCCACCCAGGGACTCCCCCAAACCACAAGGCCCACCTGTTTGCTCATGTGAGTGTCACAGAGCCTCGGCTTGTGGCATAAGCATCGATGAATGAATGACCCCTGGGGTTTACAGCCCCCTCCCTGCCTCCCACCCAACCGGGCCGCTGCTGTCCCCGCGTGCCACCGGCGCACCTTCGCTGTGCGGCTCTGCGCGCAGGTGGCGGCGCACGAAGCTGGGCGAGCTGTCCCAGGAGGGCGCGGAGCGCGGCGGCGAGCAAGAGGTGGCGGCCAGGCCCTCGTGCGAGGCGGCGTTGTGCAGCGGCCGGTAGCGCGTGAGCGGCGAGGGCGGCGGCTCGTCCTCGTCCAGGCTGCGCCGCAGCCCCGGCGGCTCCAGGCTGAAAGAGCCCCCCGCCGGGGACCCCGGACCCGAGTGCAAGGGTGAACGCAGCCGGTGCAGGGGGCTCCCGCAGCCGTCGGTCACCTAGAGGAGGGGGAGCTGCTGACTGCCCACCCTTCCTCCTCCCCATTTCCTGGAGGGCAGGAGGGACCATGACGGGCAGGCCCTCTGGGGCCCAGGGGAGGTGGTGGCGAGGGCAGCGAGAAGTGGGAACACCCAGCCTCCCCACCTGGGGGCTTTGACCGTGTAAGCTGGGTTGGTTGAATCCAGCCTCGGTCACTGAGCGACAGTGTGACTTTGTTGCTAACAGGCTTGTGTTATTCCTTCATTTTTTTTTTTTGGTGGGGGGGAGGTGAAATAAACTGGAGGTGAGAAATTTTACTCCAGTACCCAGAGCCCATAGAAGAGAGTCACACAAGGAAGTTGCCTCCCCTGGTCACACATTTCCAAAGAAATGAAGGGGCAGAAACAGCTGGAAAGGCAATGGGGGTTGGCCACACTGCTTCAAAAACCAAATCTATTTCTTAATGAAATATCCTCTCTCAGATGCAATGGGTTCTGACCAGGGATCAGTTTCTGGATATTCTTCCATTGAAATTAGGAAATACCCTGGCAACGGAGGTGGCTTGTTTGCCTAAGAGCCTCAGTTTCTTCATCTGTAATATGGGGATAAGAAAACCTTCATCCCAGATAGCAATAACCATTAGCAGCATCCTGTCAGAAGTCTGGGATGTGGCTTCCCTGCAGGGCAGGTTCAGTGGGATTTTCCAGGGGTAAGCAGAGTGGGTGGGTGTTTGGGTGGGCTCGCCCAACCTTGCCTCCAGGCCCATCGGAGCCTTCGCCGTCCTCAGCAGAGCTGGCGCTGTCCCGGAGCCTTGAACGGGAGGGCCGGTGTCTCCGGCCCTTGGCCAGCAGTTGAGCCCGGGCCTTGTGTAAACTACTGTCCAGTCTGACGGTCTCTGGCACGGCCAAGTCCAGGTCTGTGAACCAGAAGGAGGGGAAAGAGACCAGACACATGAGGGCAGGCGCAGAAGCCCACCTCAGTGCCCTGTATGCATACCCCACACAGTGGTGTTGGGCACAGGGTGTTCAGACAGATGGAAGCTGATGCTCCTCACGGTGTCCTGGGAGCCAGACATGTCAACACATCCACACAGCACAGGGTGGCCAAACTTCTCGGAGGCACAGAGCAAGGGCAGGTGGGGCCCTTTCTGGAGGGGGCAGAGGACGAAGCGGTAAAAACAGACCTTCAGGTCTGGGTGGGAGACAATGAGAGGAGGTGGCATGGGATGTCAGGAAGAGGAGAACTGACAGTAGCCACCGAGACAGCAGGAGGGCAGGCTTGGGGGGGGGGGGGGGGGGAGAAAATGGTAATAGTGACAACCATTCAGGAGGCACTTACCACGTGTGTGCGTGCATGCACGCATGCAAGTCACCGTGACAAACTTTACACACATCCCCTCCGCCCTCCTCTTCCAATCGGCCAGCAGGGCCCTATGACTACTAAGCACCTTTCCCAGGGGAGGAAACAGATGCAGAGAGGTTAAGCCACAAGGCCAAAGCCAGCAGCTAGCAATGGTCCAGGAGTTGAGCTTGGGTGGTCTGGCTGCAAAGGTGCCCTGTGGTGTAGTGGGCTATGTAGGCACTGAACTGCTAGCCACCAGGTCAGGGGTTCAAATTCACTGGCTGCTCCGTGGGAGAAAGAGTGGACCGTCTAATCCTGTAATGATTCAAAGTCTCAGAAACCCCAAAGGGACCGTTCTAATCTGTCCTATGAAGTCACTGTGAGTAGAAATCGACTCAATGGCAGTGGGTTTTTTGTTTTGTTTTGTTTTAACGTGGCTCCAAGGAGCCCTGATGGCTCAGTGGTTAAGCACTTGGCTGCTAGCCAAGAGGTGGGTGGTTCAAACCCACCATGCTGCTCTGTAGGACAGAGATGTGGCAGTTGATGTCCATAAAGATTATCATCACAGAAGCCCTCTGGGCAGTTCTATTCTGTTGTATAACACCACTATGGGCTGGAATTGACTGGACAGTAATGGGCTTGGCTTTTGGTTGTCTTAGTTTGGCTCCAGGGACTGGCCGGCCTGTCCAGAGCTCCCATACAGAAACATGGAGCCCCTAGCTCAGTGATTCTCAGCCTTCCTAATGCCACGACCCTTTAATACAGTTCCTCAGGTTGTGGTGACCCCTCCCCCCCGAAACAAGGTTATTTTCGTTGCTACTTCATAACTGTAATTTTGCTACTGTTATGAATTGGGGCGACCCCTGTGAAAGGGCCGTTCGACGCCCAAAGGGGTCCCAACCCACAGGTTGAGAACCACTGCCCTAGACGGCGGTGGTTGAGCTGGAGCCGAGGACCCCTCCACAAACGAGTGGCCGAGCTGAGAAGGACAGCTGACCATGGAGCACCCTCCAGTCCCTGAAACCTGTCACCTGCAGCCAGGGCAAGCCCTGTGGGGCCTCCATAGAGCCTTGTCATATAGGCCCCCAGGGAATGAGGATGCCCCAGTTTTGCCCTGGGGTTTGTAGATGAACAAGGCTTTCCCCTTCTTCTCCCTCCCCCTTCCTCAATGGTCTTAGGGACCCCCGTCCCATCACTCATGTATCTGCCTTGCCTGCTCCTCTCCCCTGCAGACACCCTCTAAACCACCCTAGTTGCTCTCCAGGACCAACAACCAGTCAAGCAAGAAACGAAGACACTTGTGCCAAATTGAGTCTCCCTCCCAGCCACCTGTGGGCTTCAGGGGAGAACCGGGCTCCATGGTCTTTTCATACTATCAGCTTTCAAAAGCACATCTTCCTATGGAAAAAATAATCTATAACTTATCAAGGGTTCGTGAGGGAAGGTGGGCTGGGGAGGGAGGGGGAAGAAATGGGGAGCTGATATCAGGGGCTCAAGTGGGAAGAGAATGCTTTGAAAATAACGATGGCAGCATATGTGCAAATGTGCTTGACACACTGGATGAATTATGGATTGTGATAAGAGATGTAAGAGCCTCCAGTAAAAGTATTAAAAAAAACCCATCTTTCTTCCAAGGCCATTCTGCTCACGCCAGAGCTTCCCACCTGTTGGTTAGCAACTAAGTGCCTCATGGTTTGCACCGCCCCCCTGGCCATTTCTAGTCCTAACCGCCTGGCCCCCAGGTTGCAGCCATTTCCAAAGCCCTCAATCACCTCAAACTCAAGCCATCGAGATGAACCCATCACACCTGGCCTCAGACTCCCAGGCTCTGTGAGAGATCTTCATCCACCTAATTACCCAAGTCCAGCCAGCTCTGAGCTGCCCTTTCCCCGGAACTGGGAATCCATGTACCCAGCGGCCTCCTCAACATCTCCCCTGGAGCATGGATCCGGCACCTTCAGCTTACACAGCAAAACTGGACCCCCGCGCCTGCCCCCTGCTTTTCCCCCCTCAGTGGTTGGCAGCTCCAGGTTACTCAGGACCAAGCCCCGGGACCTTCCTTGCCTCCTCTTTCCCTTCCAGCCTGCAAGTCGGTCCATCCACAGTTCCTATTAGCTCTGTGTTTGAACTACTGCTAGGCATAATGAAATATTTATGGCAAATTGATAGGATGTTTGGATTGGGTTCAAAAGTACTCCAGGTCAGCAGGGGTAGAAGGTGGAAGCGGGGGTGAGGGGTGGGGGCGGAATAAAACCGGTCAGGAGTTGGTCATCGTTGCGGCTGGCTTGTGGCATCTCTCTCCGTGGGGACAGGTTTGAGATTATTCACAGACGTCGAGGAAGAGGGGTGGATGAAGGGGGTGGGGGGGGAGTGAGACCCGAAGGCTCCCTATTCAAGTCGCCATCAGCCTCCCAGCTGACGCCCCCTCCACTTCCCTTTCCTGTCTGCAATCAGAATGGTCCTGATCAAGCACTCCGGTCAGGTCACGCCTCTGCTCAGAGCCCATGACAACCAGAAGAAGAGGGGCACTGGTCACTACCACCCTGACCCGTGTGAATGTGTCCTCCTCCCACTCATCCCTCCAAGCCAGTCACCTGCCCTCCGGATGCTTCCTCCCAGATGCCAGGTCTGCTCTCACCTCAGGCCCTTCGCACGTCCTCAAGCCTCCTGGGACAAAGCTCTCTGGAGACGGAGTTCTGCATCACCCATCTCCTTCAGGGCTGTGCCCTCATGGCCCTCTATTGATAACTGCCCTCCAGTCACCCTCCAGTCTCCCTCCACGGCGTCCCCCACCCTCTGGCATCGGCATCTTTCGCTGATGGAGCTCACTGTCTTTCTCCAGTCATTAGCAGGTCAGTTTACCCGGACAGCTTTTCCCCATTTTGCTCAGTGCTGGAGCACAGGCGTCCAATGGAGCCTGCCATGTAGTAGGTGCTTATGAATATTAATGAAGGATGAAGTGGGGTTGAGGTGCCCTCCCCACGTCCCTGAAGCTCGGCCTCTCCTCTCTCTCTCCCGACTGGACTGCCCCAACTCAGGCCTCCATCAGCCACCCCAGCCCCATCTTGGTCTAGGTCTCCACCCAGCACTCCCGGCCTATCGTCCGGCCCCGCCCACATCTTCACACAGCTGACAGCAGTTCTCCGGAGCAGGCTTGGGCCCCTCCTTTGAAACCATTGGAGGGAGTCCCAAAGTCAACACTACAACCCCCAAGCAGTCTGCTTAGCCTGTCATTCCAGGTTATCACCTGTCCCTTCTGTTGTCCCCAGACCCTTCCTCAGCCTGCTGCACCCCTGTTGGGCCAGGGATTAAGGATACACATATGGGAGCCGGGTGGCTGAAGCTGAGTCAGGTGCCAAGTGACCCTGGACAAACGGACGACTTCTGTTTAAGCACCAGCTTCCTCATCTGTAAAACAGGGTCTTAAATAACTGTATCCTTATCGGGCGACCTGGGCAGGAAGTAAGAGAATCCCCATCGGGCGCTGCTCTGCTGCTGCTGATGGTGCTGGTGTGAGTGAGCAGACTGAGCCGCTTACTGAACCCTAAGGCTCAGACTCGCCTCCCTCTCTTGCTTTTCACCCCCACCTGGGACTCAGGGCGCTCTCTGCTCCAGCACACTTCGCCCCTTCCTGGTCTGGCCTATCAGTTCTACCTCTCACCGCCTCTTCCCTTCTTTCGGTCCCAGCACGGCTCCAAGGCCGAAATGGCTATTTCCCAGGCTCCTCTGCCCACTGCAGAGGGCACGCCCTCCCCCGGGCCCTGGAATCCCAAGGGCCTGGAGCAAGAGCTCCAGCAGGGCTGGGTGGAAGGATTCACATCCAAGCTGCCCCGAACCGTGATATTCTTCCGCAGAAATAGACCTGCAGTGCTGGTAAGCGTCACTTCCAAACACAAGCCCCCCACACCATGCCCCGCACTGTCGTCACGTGGACAGCACGTCCCCCCATCTCATGGCTACCTTGTTCCTGCATGCTTCTAGTTTCTGTCCCCCGTCTGCCTCTGAGCCAGCGTTTAAGCCCCAGGAGGACAGAGACTTTGCCTGTTTGTGAGCTGCTGTCTCCCTACTGTGCAAGGCAGATATTAAATCCCAAGCCGAACTCATTGCCATCGAGTCAATTCTGACTCTGGGGACCCTGTAGGACAGGGTGGAACTCCCCCTGGGGGTTTCTGAGGCGGTCACTCTTTACGGGAGTAGGAAGCCTCCTCTTTTCCCAAGGTGCGAGTGCTTGGTTTGGAACTGCTGACCTTTCCGGGTAGCTGGTGGCGGCTTGGAGGCGGGGTCAGTGCTGTCAAAAGGACTACCATCTTGGACCCCAGGGTTGACGCCACTCCTGGCTGCCCCTCCTACCTCTGCTGTTTCCAGCTGCCCCCTGCTCCCCACTCCCCATCCCCCGGGTGGCCTGAGCTGGGGGCCAGGGCCCTCTGTCCCAGATTCTCTGGGCATTGCCCTCGGGCAGCCAGGATTGAAGAGGCGGCCACAGAGGGATAACAGCCAATATGGCCGAGGAACTGTTTAGGCTCTGTTTTATGATTTACAGTCACTAACTTGTTTAACGCCTCTCCCAGCGAAGGCGCCCTCAATCCCCAGGGCAGCCAAGGAACAAAGAGCAGGGCCCAAGCTGGGCCTGCAGCCCCTCCTCCTGCGCTATTCTGTCTCCTGGGCAGAGGTGAGGTGAGGTCCACCCTCTTGTCTTGGGGATTGGGATGATGGGGTTCAGAGAGGAAGGGGTTGCCCAAGGGTGCAGAATGGAGGAGTGGAGGCACATCCAGGCCTCCGGACTGGTCTTCCCAGGGACTGCTGGGTTCCTCTACCCCGTGGCCCTCAGTGGGGCTGGCTGGGGGGAGGGGGGTGTAGCTTCGCTCTAGGCCACTCTGAGCCACATCAGGACTGTGGTCATCTGGCATGGGAGGGTCTGGGAAGCAAAAAGATCTCTAAGGGGCTCTGTTTTTGAGGCCAGGTAGACCTAGCCTTCCTGAGCTCCCTTCTCCCACCAGACGCCCTGGCCTTGCTTGCGTCTTCCATGGATCCGTGTGTGTGTGTTTACACATGCAAGTGCATGTACACATGTGTACGTACGTACACACACACACACACACACACTTTCTCCTCCGGGGAAGTGGCCAGCCCTGGGCAGTGGGAGGTCATGAATATTTAATAGCCTTTCAAATCGGGAAACAGTTGGTGGCTGAGCCAGTAAGGAAACCAGTGGGTCTGGATGGAGAAGTGGGGGCAGGAAAACCTGGGGAGGTGGGGAGGGCCGCTCCTGCCAGTCAGGCCAGGGGTGAGGCGGGGCTTGGGTAGAGAAGAGTCTGGAACAGGAGAGACCCTAGGGAGGCCCAAGTGGGAAGTAACAGTCCCAGAAAGCAGGAGGCTGTTCCTGGCATTGCCTGGCTGTTTGGCAGAGACAGGGACCCTGGAGTTCAAAAGGGAGGAGCGAGAAATGGGGAAAAGTAGTCCTTGCAGAGGAGTGGGGGGGTCACATAGAGATGTGAGAGACCCTGGAGGCTGGGTGGGAAGACGGCTGTTTCTCCTGTCTCTCCCTCCATGGCCCTCTGTGCTCCCAGGGTCACTGCCGCCTCCACCGGAACCCAGCAGGGAAACAGCCTTTCCACCCCCCCCCACCCCCCCACCCGTGTGTGTGTGTTGGAAATGCTGCCTGGAGAGGGGGTGATCTCTTTCTCCAATCCACACACCAGGTGGACTGCAGAGGGTAAGTGATGGCGGGGGTCTGTGTGTGCACCTGAGGACATGGTAGGTGCACCAGTCTGAGGATGGAGGTCTAGGCCCGAAGACTGT